TTGCTCCCCCTGCCTCCCCTGCCAGCACCCTTGCCTCCCCCCTGCTCTCCTGCCAGCACCTGTTCTCCTCCCCCTGCCTCCTGCCACCTTGGTCTCCCCCTGCTCCTCCTGCCAGCACCTTGCCTCCCCCCTCTGCCTCCCTGCCAGCACCTCCCCCTGCCTCCCCTGCTACACCTTTGCCTCCCCTGCCTCCCCTGCCAGCACCCCACCTCCCCCCCCTGCTCCCCTGCCAGCACCTTGCCTCCCCCTGCCTCCCTGCCAGCACCTTGCCTCCCCCCTGCTCCTCCTCGCAAGCACCCTTGCTCCCTCTCTGCCCTCCCTGCCAGCACCTTTGCTCCTCCCCCCTGCTCTCCCTGCTAGCACCTTGCTTCCCCCCTGCCTCCCCTGCCAGCACCTTTGCTCCCCCCTGCCTCCCTGCCAGCACCTTGCCCTCCCCCTGCCTCCCCTGCCAGCACCCCCTTTGGTTTCCCCCCCCTGCCTCCCCCTGCCAGCACCTCCCCCTGGCCTCCCCTGGCTCAGCACCTTTGCCTCCCCCCCCTGCCCCTCCCTCCCCTGCCACAGCACCTTGCCTCCCCCCTGCCTCCCTGCCAGCACCTTGCTCCCCCTGCCCTCCCTGCCACAGCACCTTGCTCTCCCCCCTGCCCTCCTGCCAGCACCTTGCCTCCCCCCTGCCTCCCTGCCAGCACCTTTGCTCTATCTCTGCCTCCCCTGCCACACCTTTGCTCCTCCCCTCTCTCTGCCTTCCCTGCCAGCACCTTGCTCCTCCCCCCCTGCTCCTCCCTGCCAGCACCTTGCCTCCCCCCCTGCCTCTCCTGCCAGCACCTTGCCTCCCCTGCCGCACCCTTGCCTCCCCACAGCACCTTGCCTCCCTGGCCAGCACCTTGCCCCCCCCCTGCCCTCCTGCCAGCACCTTGCTCTCCCCCTGCCCCTCCCCTGCTGCTAACTTGCTCCCCTGCCTGCCTGCCAGCACCTTGTCTCCCCCTGCCTCTCCCCTGCCAGCACCTTGCCTCCCCCTGCCTCCCCTGCCAGCACCCCTGCCTCCCCACCTGCCCCTGCCTCCCCCCTGCTCCTCCCTGCCTGACCCCTGCTCTCCCACCTGCCCCTCCTGGCCTCCTGCCATGACCTTGCCTCCCCCTGCCTCCCTTGCCAGCACCTTGCTCCCTCCCCTGCTCCTCCTCCCTGCTAGACCCTTGCTCCCCCTGCCTTCCTGCCAGCATCCTGCCTCCCCTGCCTCCCTGCCAGCACTTTGCCCTCCCAGCACCTTGCCCTCCTCTGCCTCCCCTGCTAGCACCTTTGCCTCCCCCTGCTCCTGCCAGCACTCTGCCTCCCCCCCCCCCTGCCCTCCCCCCCCCCCTGCCCTCCCTGCCAGCACCCCACCTGCCTCTGCCTCCCCCTTGCCTCCCCCTGCCTCCTCCCCTGCTACACCTTGCTCCCCCCTGCCTCCCTGCCAGCACCTTGCCTCCCACCTGCCTCCTCCTGCCAGCACCTTTGCCTCCCCTGCTCCCTCCCTGCCAGCATCCCCCCCTGCCTCCAAGGACCTTGCCTCCCCCCTGCCTCCCTGCCCAGCATCCTGCCTCCCCCCTGCCTCCCTGCCTTTTCCCTCCCCTGCCTCCCCTGCCCCTGCTGCCTCCCCCTGCCTCCTGCCCAGCACCTTGCCTCCCCCTGCCTCCTGCCAGCTCCCTGCCTCCCCCTGCCTCCCCCTTGCCACCCCCTGCCTCCCTGCCAGCACCCTGCCTCCCCCCTGCCTCCCCCTTGCCTCCCCCTGCCTCCCCCCTTGCCCTCCCCCTGCCCCTCCTGCCAGCACCCCCTCCCCCCTGCCTCCCTGCCAGCACCTGCCTCCCCCCTGCCTCCCTACCCAGCACCTTGCCTCCCCCCTGCCCCTCCCCTACCCTTCCTTGCCTCCCCTGCCTCCCCTGCCAGCACCTGCCTCCCCCTGCCTCCCTCCACACCTTGCCTCCTCCTGCCTCTCTGCTCCTTGCCTCCCCCTGCCTCCACACAGCACCTTGCCCTCCCCCTCCCTCCTGCCAGCACCTTGCCTCCCCTGCCTCCCTGCCAGCACCTTGCCTCCCCCCTGCCTCCCCTGCCCTTTCCTTGCCTCCCCCCCCTGCCTCCCTCCAGCACCTTCCCGCTCCCCTGCCTCCCCTCACCAGCATCTTGCCCCTCCCCCTGCCCCCCCCCCAGCACCCCACCTGCCTCCCTGCCAGCACCTTGCCTCCCCCTGCCTCCCTGCCCCTTGCCTCCCCACCTGCCTCCTGCCAGCACCTTGCCTCCCCCTGCCTCCCTGCCCGCCTGCCTCCCCACCAGCTTCCCACCTCCCCCCTGCCTCCCCCTGCCAGCCTGCCTCCCCCCCTGCCTCCTGCCAGCTGCCTTGCCTCCCACCTGCCCCTCCCTGCCAGCACCTTGCCTCCCACCTGCCCCTCCCTGCCAGCACCTTGCCTCCCCCCCTGCCTCCCTCCAGCTGCCTCCCACCTGCCTCCTGCCAGCACTTGCCTCCCCCACCTCCCTCCCCAGCACCTTGCCTCCCCCTGCCTCCCCTCCCAGCACCTTGCCTCCCACCTGCCTCCCTGCCTCCCACCCCTGCCTCCCTACCACCCACCTCCCCACCTGCCTCCCTTCACCCCTCCCACCTGCCTCCCCTGCCCGCTTGCCTCCCCCACCCTCCCCTGGCAGCACCTTGCCTCCCCCCTGCCTCCCCTGCCAGCACCTTGCCTCCCCCTGCCTCCCTCCCAGCAGCATCCTGCCTCCCCCCTCCCCTCCCAGCACCTTGCCTCCCCCTGCCTCCCTGCCAGCACCTTGCCTCCCCCTGCCTCCCCTGCCAGCACCTTGCCTCCCCCCCCTCCCTGCCCTTTCCCTGCCTCCCCTGCCTCCCCCTTGCCTCCCTCCTGCCTCCCTGCCAGCACCCTGCCTCCCCCCTGCCTCCCCTTGCCTCCCCCCTGCCTCCCCAGCACCTTTTCCCCCCCCCCCCCCTGCATCCTGCCTCCCACCTGCCTCCTGCCAGCACCTTGCCTCCCCTGCCTCCCTGCCAGCACCTCCCCCTGCCTCCTGCCAGCACCTTGCCTCCCCTGCCTCCCTGCCAGCATCCTGCCTCCCCCACCTCCCTCCAGCACCTTGCCTCCCCCTGCCTCCCCCCACCAGCATCCTGCCTCCCCCCTGCCTCCCCTGCCAGCACCTCCCTCCTCCCCCACCCCTGCCTCCCCACCTCCACCTGCCTCCTGCCTCCCCTCTCCCAGCCCTGCCTCCCCACTTTACTCCCCCCTGCTTGCCTCCCCCCCTGCCTCCCCAGCATCCCTGCCTCCCCCCTGCCTCCCTGCCTCCCCTGCCTCCCCTGCCCAGCACCCTGCCTCCCCTGCCTCCCCTTGCCTCCCACCTGCCTCCCTGCCTCCCTGCCGCAGCCCTGCCTCCCACCTGCCCCTCCCTGCCCAGCACCTTGCCTCCCCCACCCTGCCTCCCACTGCTTCTTGCCTCCCCTGCCTCCCCTGCCAGCACCTTGCCTCCCCCTGCCTCCTGCAGCACCTTGCCTCCCCTGCCTCCCCCCTGCCCTTCCTTGCCTCCCCCTGCCTCCCTACCCCGCTGCCCTCCCACCTGCCTCCCTGCCCCCCTCAGCACCTGCCTCCCCTCTCCTGCCCTTGCCTCCCCTGTCTCCCTGCCAGCACCTTGCCTCCCCCTGCCTCCCTGCCAGCACCTTGCCCCCCCCAACTAGCAGTGTCTCACACAAAGATTGTATGTATCATGTGTGTTGGGGTATCAATTAAGAATAATAAATAAACAAATTGTATAGTTAATGACAGTACAGTACAGCTCCTCCCCGACTTACGACTGGTTAGGGACCCCAAATAAGGTAAAGTCAAAATGGTAATAAATCGAAAATGCTTAAACGATACATAGAAAAATCTAAAATGGGTGTCCTCTTTTCTTCTCAGCACCAAACTCTCACTTTAGCTGGCCCAGCCATTTTAAAGTGAATTACAAACGAAAATTATGTCTGTGATATTGATGTTGGACCTAAAAATACATGAATTTGACAAAATTTTATTCGACTGAAAGCAGGCACGTAACGGTTGTATGAAGTCGAGTAGGTAAATAAGTCAGGGAGCTGTAGTTTGATGAGAATAGTAGTGACAATTACTGTATGCTCCTATTCTTCACTTCATCGCTAACGATGCAATAGCTTATTTATTAATTATTGCCAATTCACACACAAACACCCCCATATTGTATGACAAATTTATCGTGTAGTTAACCTACGTGGAGGTGATTTAAAGACTCAGTAGGAAGCTAAGCACTTACTGGTGCATGTTACCACTCCATCACCCTACTCTCCTTTCTCACTCCACATTTTAAAATCTTCTGTAACGTAATGTTTAAGGGATACAATGTGATAAGTGTAAGTTTAAAAATACTGTATTTCAGCTGTCATGTTTATTCAAGACATCTTCAGGTCCTGAGACCTACTAATCCCCACCCAACAGTGGGTAACCTGACATTGTATCAGGTCAGTAATATGAGACCACCAATACCCCACCCTACCTCCACCTGACATTGTGTTAGGTCAGGTCAGTTACAGAATCCACTAATCCCCCACAGCTCTAAGGGAGTGGAAATACCAGTCTTTGCTCTAACACACAGCTTCATTCATGACCATATATAGATGTTAGTTTAGACTCTTGGAAAACTCCCCAGCACACAGAAACATTATGAGGATGTGGACTAGTGTTTGTCTGCGCAAGATGCATAGTTTAGACACTCGGAAAGTTTTTCCATTACCGGAAATATTTCCGGGGATGGGGGTTTTCCGGGTTTGAGAAAGTCTTCTGGTTAGCCGGAAATCTCTCATCCCCGGAAGTGCTCTGCACCAATTGTTCCGGCTAGCGGGATCAGATGATTTTATTTGGCTCAGAAAGAGAGACAACCACCCCCCCTCCCCCACACACAAGGAGTTAATGATCACAGAGGCATAATTGTGTCTTCATGCACACAGGGACTACGGCAGTAAATCTGAGGATCACACGTTAAGCCCAGATGACCAGGACTTGTGGGATGACTGCTTCTTGGCTCGGTGTGAACTGACGGACCAGCTGACTGACCTCGACAACCAGCTGGCAGAGTACGTGCTGGAGAAGGAGTCCATAGAGCAATACCTCCACATGTGCTAGAAGAGGCGATAAGGAGAGTTACGTCAAGTCAGGCTGATAGGGAGGGAGCATAGAGCTAACCCCTTCAATACTCAAGGGTTAAGTCATTGTAATCAAGGGGTTATATCATCATATTCAAGGGGTTAGGTAGGAGTAGGCATCCAAACAGGGAGGTACTACCACCTGGGAAGATATTGGAAGCATGTGTTGTCTAATGGTAGACCCTGCTGCCATATGTGACCAAGTCCCAGGTTGATGATCTGACTTTCTGCCTCATTTACACACAATTGCAGGGTCTCAATTGTTTCTCTTACTATTGACAACACAACATACATATATCGTTTCTCAATGTTGATCTTTTTTATTTTATTTCTTTATTATTATTATTATTATTAATTATTATTATTATTATTATTATTATTATTATTATTATTATTATTATTATTATTATTATTACAGTGGTCCCTCGGTTAATGAACACAATTCGTTCCAGAGGTCGTTCGTAACGAATTTTCATTAACGAATCCATTGTTTCAATGGTTTTCGATAATGGTTCCCAACTCACCGAAAATACATACAAACTAAAAATAAATGCAGTAAAAGACATGCCTTACTTTGAGGTGAGCATGTAGAAGGCTCCTGGTTGATGATGATGATGATGATGGGAATTAGAAGTGGGGGTGGAGGAGAAGAGAAGGATGGGGTGGAAGAGAAATCACCTTCAGGGGACCCATGCTTGATGATAATTTCACCAGTAAAATTTTAAGTTCATAAGGTGTAATTCAAGATTAATTTCTTTAAATCAACACTACACTGCACTGCGCTATATATTATGAATATGTTAACTAAAGTTCAGAATGACCAATAATTTCAATGAAAAATGCAAAAATATTCAAGACACAATAAAATAGATGTTCTCTCCACCGTTTCCAAAATTCAAATATGCCATGACTGACTCACGCATCTGATGACAGCACAACAAACTAGTTCCCTGTACTGCATATATTATCAATATGTTAAATAAATGTTAAAATGACTTATAATTTTAATATAAAAATGCAAAAAATATTAAAGACACAACTTTATTGATATTTACTCCTGAAACGTATGAAACATAGAACAGATTACTGAATTGGCGGACTAGCCCATCAGCTGATGCTCACAACAAAACGTGTTGTTAAGCAAGAATTTAAGTTAATCAAATTTTGTTAAGTCAGCAATTGAAGATCCTTATGGAATTTTGTTAACTGAACCATTCATTAACCGAGGGACCACTGTACAGTATTATCATCATCACCACCACCACCACCCCCCAGGCTGATGTGGGTCAGTGACCTGTGCCCCGGGTGGGCTGATCCCTGTATAAAAAAAAACCGAGGGGTAATGTCATCATACTCAAGGGTTGTGTTACTGTACTCAAGGGGTTATCATTTTACAGGGGTTGCCATTGTACTCAAGGGAGTGCCATTGTACTCAAGGGGTTGCCATTGTACTCAAGGGGTTGCCATTGTACTCAAGGGGTTGCCATTGTACTCAAGGGGTTGTCATTGTACTCAAGGGGTTATGTCATACTCAAGGGGTTATATCATTGTATTGAAGGGGTTATGTCACACTTAAGGGGTTATATCATTGTATTGAAGGGGTTGTCATCATAATCAAAGGTGTAAGGCTAAACTGATGCTGTAGCTGAGTATTATGTAGTTTCACTTGTTATGACTTGCTGTAGCAGTAGTAGTACCCAAAGCTCCTCACTCCCCAGACAGCAGTTCCTCTCTCATAGCTAGCTAAGTACAAACAGGGTTCAGCCGTGGGGCCGCTTGTGGTTGCTCTTGAGAATGCCCTAGAGACTGTCGGGTTGTATGCCCCACACCTCTGTGCTGTAAGATAGTCCATGATAAACATGCGGCGGTGTCTTAACTTTCGTGCGAATATACTCAGCCATTTGGAAAAGGTATGGGATAGTTTTTGGTTTTGTATTTGTTCACTTGTTTGAGATATGACTGAGTACTGTGTGTGTGTGTGAGAGAGAGGGAGGAGGAGGGATCATCCACCAGTGATGTTGACACTGGTTTCCTTGCATTATCCCTCTGTACTGGCTATATGCAGTAATTGATAAGGAATGTGCCACCCATACCAGACATCTTCTCATTAACACACTGTACTCAAGGAGCCTCATTAACACACTGTACTCTAGGAGCCTCATTAACACACTGTACTCTAGGAGCCTCATTAACACACTGTATCAAGGCCTCATTAACACACTGTACTCTAGGAGCCTCATTAACACACTGTACTCTAGGAGCCTCATTTACATACTGTACTCTAGAGACCTCTTAACACACTGTACTCATAGGCCTCCTTAACACACTGCTCTGGAGCCTCATTAACACACTGTACTCTGAGCCTCATTAACACACTGTAGGGCCTCGTTAACACACTGTACTGTTTTACTCTAGGAGCCTCCTTCACACACTGTACTCTAGGAGCCTCGTTAACATACTGTACTCTAGGAGCCTCGTTAACACACTGTACTCTAGGAGCCTCGTACACACTGTACTCAGGAGCCTCATTAACACACTGTACTCTAGGAGCCTCGTTAACACACTGTACTCTAGGAACCTCATTAACACACTGTACTCTAGGAGCCTCGTACTGACTCTAGAGCCTCGTTAACACTGCTCTAGGAGCCTCGTTAATACACTGTATTCTAGTAGCCTCGTTAACACACTGTACTCTAGGAGCCTGGTGCTAACACACTGTACTCTAGGGCCTCGTTAACACACACTGTACTCTAGGAGCCTCGTTAACACACTGTACTCTAGGAGCCTCGTTAACACACTGTACTCTAGGAGCCTCGTTAACACTGCTCTAGGAGCCTCGTTAACACACTGTACTAGGAGCCTCGTTAACACACTGTACTCTAGGAGCCTCGTTAACACACTGTACTCTAGGAGCCTCGTTAACACACTGTACTCTAGGAGCCTCACAACACACTGTACTCTAGGAGCCTCGTTAACACACTGTACTCTAGGAGCCTTAGTGGTTGATTAACAAGCAGTACAGTTGTATTGGGCCGAGTTCCTTTCTCTTTATATTCCACCTTAGCTGCCTCTCCCAGCCTCTCTCAACCCCTGAGTTACTAAGTCGGGACTTTGACTGATATACTGTAATCATCAGACTCCTTTACTGTACACATTGGGTTATGAAAATCAGGCTATGAGCTTATACAGTAATATCTCTGTTAGGTGGAGATAGGGTCAGGGACTAGTGGTCTCATATTACTGACTTTCTGATGGAATGTCAGATCACCTTTCTTGGGTGGGGATTAGTGGGTCTCATGACCTGAAGATGTCTTGAATAAACACACAACCAAAGTATTTTTTAAGAGATTGTGATAAGTATAAGTATAAATGAGCAAAGTTGTATCACTTCAACATTATATTACATAACATTTTAAAATATGGAGTGAGAAAGGTGTGATGGAGTGGCACCAGTGTTGATAAGCTCCTCAACAGCTGATCTTTAACTTCACCTCCACGCAGTCACACAACAAAGACCCTCACTGGATGCTTGTTGTCTTAATGCTTGAATGTGGTGATGACGCCTTGGTCCATAGGCTGCATCAGTGCTGTCGTGTTGGGAGTCAGTAATACAACTTTTACACAGTCATGCAAGTTGTCGAGATTGGGAGGATGAGCTGGAGTATTGTCAACGATCAGAAGAATTTTGAAGTCCAGGTTCTCCTTGGCACAGTATTCCTTCAGTGCAGGGGCGAGTACTGCGTTTAACCACTGGCTAAATATGGCGCCGGTTATCCATGCCTTCTTGTTTGCTTTGAAGATGACAGGAAGGTGATCCTTAGAGTAACCTTTCAGGGCCCGTGGGTTAGCAGTGCGAGAAATCAGCATAGACTTCAGCTTGAAGTCTCCCACAGCGTTCGCGCCAAGCAGCAGCGTCAAGCGGTCTTTTGCCACTTTAAAACCTGGCGTTCTTTTCTCCTCCTCCTTCCAAAAGAGACCAGTCTCATTCACATTGAAGACTTGTTTCGGTGAGTAGCCTCCTTGCTGGATAATGTTTTTTAATTCTGGTGGGAATGTCTCGGCAGCAACCATATCTGAACTGGCAGCATCACCAGTCATCTTAATATTGTGGAAGTTAAGACGACCCTTCAATCGTTGACACCATCCTTGGCTGGCCGTAAAGGTCTCTTCCTTCGATCCTTCACCCTCTCTCTCCTTTATGTCGTCAAACAGGGATCTGGCCTTATGCTGGATAACCATAAGGCTCACAGGGGCATTGTGTTGATTCTGGTCCTCCATCCACATTGCCAGCATCATTTCCACCTTCTCTATCACAGTGCTTCTAGTACGAGTTGTTTTAGTTGTACTGAGAGTAGTACCACCCAGTGCTAACCTTAATCTTGTCAGCGTTGTCCGATAATACGCACCGTTGTGGGTTAGACCAAGCACAGCGGCTATGTCCACAGCATGTTCCCATTTTTCAAATCGAATACATCCATTTTCATAGCAAGGGTAATGGTCTTCCGTTGCCCTTCACTACATCAGTAGACACTTGATGGGTTCTGGAAGTCATTTCAAATGGTTAGAGTAAAATTTTTAGAGCAAAAGCATCTAAGGTACATGAATGATGCGATGTCGAGAACAGAGACTGGCTCGCACGCTGGGGACGCCTGTGATGTTCCGTGAGTGAGAGCGGGCCGAGCGAGATAGAAGCAGATGAGACAAGAGGTGATGCCGAGAAAATAGTCGCGGTGAGACGCAAAACGACGTAGTATCGGATCACCGGGACGTTTAACAAATTTTTGGTCTCTAAAGTTTAGCGAAACAAAGCAGCGGGAAGTTGTTATACAAGGATGCACTGTACTCTCATTGGATTCTCTGAGGTTCACAGATCAAAAAGATACGAGGCGTGATCCAAAAGTTCCCGGGCTGGCTTAAAAACCTTCTTTGCAGATATCAAATTTGAATCATCAGCAGTCACCCACCTTGGGTATAAGTTGTTAACTGTGTCAATTTGGCGGGAATCTGTGGAGCCAACCGGCCGTAGTGCAGCTTTGTGTGAGTGTGTACACCGGCCCATCTAAGTAGAGTCAGTCGCCACTCAACCCTCAACATGGAGGGAAGTATCTACAATGCTGCGCCATCAGAATTTGCTTCACTCGGAAAAAATGGTGCAGACCCAAGAAATAATCAAAGAAGCCTACAAAGATGGAGCAATGTCTGGGGCTCATGTTTTCAGGTGGCACAAGAGCTCAGAGAGGTGCACCTTCTTGATAATGAGCATCGTTCTGGGTGGCCTTCCACTGAGAGAAATGACCAGCTTGTCCATGAAGATCGTAGGGTGATCATCCATGAGATTGCTGAGCGGCCCGACCTCTCATATGGAAATGTAAACCGGATTCTGACTGACGACGGGCAATTGGCCAGCCACCAGGACAATGCACCTGCGCACACACTCTCTCCTCTGTCAATGATTTTCTGGTGAAGCACAGCATCCCGGTGGCCCCCAACTCTCCAGATTAGGCCCCCTGTGAGTTCTGGCTGTTTCTGAAGTTAAAGTTGAACCTCACCAACGAGGACTTACAGATCTGCTTCCAGAAGTGGGAAGAGCGGATTCAGCGCTGCATTGAGACTTAAGATTTTATGAAGCCAGTCCGGGAACTTTTGAATCACAACTCTTATGACTTCAGTTTTGAATTGTCATCCCATAAGTTAACAAGAAACATAGACTGAGTACAGCTGGGGGCTGGGTCCTCAAAACACATCTTAACACTGTGTACTCTACACATAAAGATATATGATGCTTTCAACATACAGTACACTCAATGCTTTATCTCACTGTAGGTGTATCTGACTTAATGTAAAACATATTCATTCACTCTCAATTTTAAATCTCAGAACACTATATGAGGTGTTAAGAAATATCAGAGTCTCTGAGGCACATAAGAGAACAGAGGACTCGGGCGTACTGAAGTGGTGAGAAAACGGACGTCTCAACTGGGGGACTCAACAGTTTCACACATATTTTGTGGACGGTGGAGCATAATATGAATAATTAAGTGTTGAACACACTAGCCATACTATTGTGACCATGACACAGTGTTGTGCTGCCATTATTAGCGAGTCCCGACCACTGTATATGTCACAGTAATTGTATAAGATTCATTACATAAATATTTAATGTGTCAAAGCAGCAACTTTTTCCATTTATTTTGTTTTCCAATAAGTCTGTCATAAATAATTTTACTGAAGTACTGTAAAGAATTTTTTCCATGAGGTATAAGGTGCACTGAGACAGCCCCCAGGTGTCTGTTATAACCAGGGTTTGACACAAGCCATCAAGAGAGAGACAGACATAGAAGATATATTTCTCTCACGTGTGCTTCTCTTTTACGGTGGTGGTTCTGTAACCCAACAACAACAAGAGGCGAGACTCAGATGTTGTGTTGTATTTCAGGGTCAGAAGCTGTATAATATTAATGCAGATCAGACGGAAAAAGTTGGACGAGTTTTGATAGCCTACATGACTTCAAGGAGGTGTCAACCATCAAGGCCGGGAATATTGTGGTTATTACTGGACTAAAGGTAAATTTGATGAGGTTTTTGTAGCTCACTTGATATGATAAGGACTGTGAGAATAACTTAAGTGATATTAGGACTTATAGTTAATAGTAATCTCCCTGTTAGCCAGAATCTTTGATCCCCTGAACTTTCCGTTATCCAGAAATCTTTTTTTTGAGCATTCCAAGAAATTCCCCCCCCCCCCCAAATCTCTCCATTCCGGGCATTCGGACGTATTTCCCAGAGATTGCATCGTGTAACATGTGGGTGGGTAGGCTGATAGTACTCATGAGCTATGATTGGCTACTAATGTCATTTGACTGCATGAGATGCCTGTGATTGGCTGATGTATCTTGAGCCTATGGCTGCTACCATTGACTTATAATTAAATCTTTTTCACCTTTGATATGAAGATGGTATAGCAGTCACAGGGGACCTCTTTCAGCAGAATAAAATAGTCTGGCATTAACCAAATAAACTATTAAAAGTGGCATCCAATAGTGAAGAAGATAAAAGCTCTGGATAATGTATACTATATATTAATGGGTATTACCAAGGGTATCCATTTCCTTTCAAACATTTATCGGCGAGCGGGGTTTATTTTTAGGGAAGAAATACATTGAATTATCCGACGACAGATCACCAGCACGGGCGACACGTTGGTTGGCAGTTCCTCAGTTGCCAACAGTGTGAAAAAGAAGTTGGCGGACGAGAACAGAGAGTCCCAGGCAGCCATGTTGTTGGGCGTACAGGTTCCCGATCCTGTCTTCTTCTGCTCTGTGGGTATGTAACAACAGCTGTGGGTACCTGACAACAACTGTGGGTATGTGACAACAACTGTGGGTACCTGACAACAACTGTGGGTATTGACAACAGCTGTGGGTACCTGACAACAACTATGGGTACCTGACAACAACTGTGGGTACCTGACGACAACTGTGGGTATGTGACAACAGCTGTGGGTACCTGACAACAACTATGGGTACCTGACAACAACTGTAGGTACCTGACGACAACTGTGGGTACCTGACAACAACTGTGGGTACCTGACAACAACTGTGGGTACCCGACAACAACTGTGGGTACCCGACAACAACTGTGGGTTAATAATTGCCGAGTCATAAGCATGCCAGACAATCATAGGTAGATTGGATGACACAAAAGCGACTGATGAACTAACATTTATTATATTAGTTAAGGAAGAAATTATGGTTTATATTTGTATTATTTTGTGTTTAAGTTGAGTAAGTGTGTGATTATTACTGTCATTATATAACTGCTGTACAGTATTTATACTTTGGGGTATTTTCTTTGCCAGGTATTAATACAGTACAGGTATTCCATAACTTACAGCAGGGATACTTTCCTGGACCCTGACCACAAGCCGATCTGTTCATAACTCAGAACATTGCAGATTCCTCATAAAATACGTACTGATGCACAACTGTGTGACTGCTTGGTAGCGAGTTAAAGATCAGCTGTTGAGGAGCACTTGGAACACTCCTATTCACTCCATCTCTCTAATTACCCACACTTTTTTGCTTTCTTACTCCATATTTTTTACAATGTTATGTAATGTAATGCCCGATACATATGAAGATTTACAGATAACTTTTCACAAGTGCGTGTTTTAGCATCGTTACACTGTAGCCAAGTTAGACTCGTCACTGTAACCACCAGGCTACTGAGCCAAGCTGTGAGGTGTTATGGTTGTTTTTCAACTTGTATTTTTGGGGTAGATATATGTAACTTTCTTCTTTTATTTTACTCAGTTATATGCACACACCATCCTACATATATATTGTTATTAAAAGTAAATGAAATAATTGTCATAAGGGGAAACAAATTAGGGGAATAAACATTTCTTTACACATGAGTTAGCTGGCTCAGTAGGGGAGCTGGCACGGTGCACCAAACAATATACAGGTTGTACCTCTCTAGTCCGGCAACCTCAGGACCTGACCGGTGCCGGACCATGGAAATTCACCCTTTTCCTGGATAGATAGTGACTTGTGCTTATGCCTGGAAGCACTAGCACCACTTTCTCTGCATCATGGTCTCTTTGAAGACATATTGAAGGGTTAAATGTCGTATAGTAGCTTCTCAAATTTATGAGTTTTTAATTCTTACAGTATTTTATTGGAACACACAAAAATAAATAAATAAAAATTTTGTGGCCGGAAACTTGAATTCGGCGAGGTTTGAGCAGCCCGCCCAGCGTGCAGGCGGCGATGCATAATCGTGTAAACAGCGTCATTTCATGTACAAAAGATTCATTATTGTTTATTACTGAATGTCTTTTTATTGAATTAATGTTTATGTGTGCAAAATAGAGCAATACAATTCATTATATACGTAGAATATTAAAACACTGCGAGAAATGACACAGCATTGTTTTCGTTGATTTCAAAACCAGTGACTGCTGGTTCTATATAAAACTGAAGAAAATAAGACCTTGGTTGTAGCTGTAGTAAAATTAATATGGTTGTTTTTAAATATGTTATTTAATGTTAATAAATGTTACAATAGAAGTAGCTAACGATAATGAAGTAAAAAAGAGATCGGCGTATGTAAGTGCGCTGCGATGGCTATATCTTCATTACTTTACATAGAATATAAACAACCTTTTTACTGTTCATAAATATTTTAATTAATGTTTCTGAATTTGTTTTTATTGAATCAATATGCGTGTGGGAAAATTAACAATACAATTTATTAATATACATTGGAATATTAGAGGCGAGCGGCTGCCGCATTGTTTTATGTTAAAACACAAAACCAGTGACTGATTGGTTCTACATATAAACTGAAGAAAATAAGACCTGAGTTTAGCTGTAGTAAAATTAATGTAAAAATGAATATGGTTGCTTGAAAGTACCTGTAATGTTATTTAATGTTAATAAATGGAACAATATAAGTAGCTAACTATTAATGGTTAAAAAAAAGTGAGACTGCGCGTATGTAAGTGTGCACATGTGAAAACATATCGTCATTACTCTACATAAGAATATGAAAGCAACACTTATTTACTGCTCATATATATATTGAAGGGTTAAATGTTGTACTCTGTATAGACAAGCAGAGAGAGAGAGAGAGAGAGCAGCCGAACTGCCGGATGTAAACAAACCTTAATTTCCCGCGGCTTTGTTTTATTTTTTTTGTTTTTTAAGGGGATTAGCCCACCCGGGCATAGGTCACTGACCCACATTGGGGCCTGAGGGGCAAAAATTTAATACTCCTGTAATAATAATTCAGATAAGTAAAAAAAAAAAAAAAAAAAGCTGCCTATCTACCTATTGGACAAACTAAAATCGTTCCGGACCACGGGAGTTTCCGGACCACGGGAGTTTCCGGACCACAGAATGCCGGACTAGAGAGGTACAACCTGTACTAGAGCGTTGGTTCATAAGTGCAGTATTACAAATGGTCGTAAGTCAGTTTATTTTTTTTAAGAATATAATAGGGCGATGATCGTAACGTGGATGTTTGTAACTCGGGGAGTGCCTATACTGTACTGTACAGTGGTCCCTCGGTTAACGAACACAATTCTTTCCACAGAGTCGTCCATTAAACGAATCTATTATTTCAATGGAATATTGGGTAATTGGTTCCAACTCACAGAAAAAAATATACATACAAAGTACAGCTCCTCCTCGACTTGTGACGGGGTTAGGGACCCAAATCCAGGTCGTAAGTTGAATTGGTCGTGTCGAAAATGCGAAAATAATACATAGAAAATCTAAAATGGGTGTCTCTTTTTCTTCTCAGCACCACAAAACTCTCACTCTTAAGCTTGCCAGCCATTTTAAAGGGAATTACAAATGAAAATTTTGTCAGTACACAACGCAATCACTAACGTCGGGTCTCAAAAATACGTAATTTGAAAAAATTTTGGTACGACTGGGGCGGTCGTATGTCCGGGTGGTCGTAAGCCGAGTCGGTCGTAAGTCGAGGAGTGGCTATACTGTATACCAGTAATAGAATTAACAAAATATTAAATATAAACTAAATACCTACAGTACTGTACTGTACAGTAATAAATAAAAAACACTAGAATACTCTATTTTAACTTACTTTGAGGTGTGTATGTCGTATTCCCGGCAGCTTTGTTTGCATATCAAACAGCTGATTGTAGAGGCAGTCGATGATGACATGCCAGATTCCTAACAGAGGGCAATGGTTCTAATGCCTTCTTCATGTTTCATAATAATTTTTGCACTGTATATTATCAATATGTGAACTAAATTTCAGAATGACTAATAATGTTAATGTAAAAATGGAAAATTATTCAAGAGACCAACAAACTGGATGTTCACTCCACTGTAAACAAAGTTAAACTGAGAATCGTTGGTGGGCGATTCGATCAGCTGATGGGAACACAAAAACTGTTCCCTGTACTGTATATATTATCAATATGTTAACTAAATTTCAGAATGACCAATAATCTTAATATAAAAAATGCAGAAATATTCAAGAGACCAACTTCTTGATATTTATTCCACTGGAAACAAATGTAACATAGAACCAATTGGTGGACTAGCCGATCAGCTGGTGCTCACAACAAAGAGTGTTTGTCATAAGGATTTCGTTAATCGAAGTTTTGCTCGTTAATCGAACTGAAAATCCTTACAGGAGCTAATTCGTAAACTGAAAGTTCGTGAATCGAACCGTTCGTTAACCGAGGGACCACTGTACTCATCTCAACCATTACCTTCATCATGATGCTGTTAATGTTTAAGATACCATACAGTAAACACTCCCAATACTGTACCAAACTAATTCCTGTAACCCCTGTCTGTTATTGGGAGGTGTCTGTTACAGAGAGAGTTTACTGTACCCATTACTTTATTAAGGTGTCTGTTACAGAGACAGTTTACTGTATCCATTACTTTATTAAGGTGTCTGTTACAGAGACAGTTTACTGTATCCATTACTTTATTAAGGTGTCTGTTACAGAGAGAGTTTACTGTAAACATATCCCTTTTAGAGGCTCCCTCTACGTCACACCAGAAGGCTCTAGAGGATGCTCTCGGTCAGCTACAGAGAGAAGACCCAAGTTTACACGTCACGCTCGATCAAGACACCGGCCAAACTGTTCTCTCAGGTCAGTTGAAGTTTCTTCTTGTGGTTGTAAAGTGATGTAAACCTTATGAGACTCTACTCAGATAACTGGATGATAGGAGTCAGCGGCCACATCATAATGAGAGGCTATAGTATAGACCCGTCATAAGGTTATGGTGAGAACCATGATATTTTGTGGTTGGTCGTCCGGTCGCTCCCTGTAATGTACTGCACTGTACCCAGGTGTTAGAGGCCTTCTCCATCACTGCTAACAAGTAAAGTCCTCACTGTCTTCATGTTATTAATTCTCAATCTTTCCTGGTGAAAAACTTAACAGTATTACAATGGGCATCAAAGATTTAGGGTGTGATGGAGCAGCAGGGTGTGATAAAGCAGTAGGGTGTGATGGAGCAGTAGGGTGTGATGGAGCAGTAGGGTGTGATGGAGCAGCAGGGTGTGATGGAGCAGTAGGGTGTGATGGAGCAGCAGGGTGTGATGGAGCAGTAGGGTGTGATGGAGCAGTAGGGTGTGATGGAGCAGTAGGGTGTGATGGAGCAGTAGGGTGTGATGGAGCAGCAGGGGTGTGATGGAGCAGTAGGGTGTGATGGGCAGTGGGGTGTGATGGAGCAGCAGGGGTGTGATGGAGCAGTGATGGGGTGTGATGGGCAGCAGGGAATGATGGAGCAGCAGGGTGTGATGGAGCAGCAGGGTGTGATGGAGCAGCAGGGTGTGATGGAACGGCAGAAGAGATTGTGAGTGGGCAGTGGGGTGTGAGTGGAGCAGCAGGGTGTGATGGAGCAGCAGGGTGTGATGGAGCAGCAGGGTGTGATGGAGCAGCAGGGTGTGATGATGGAGCAGCAGGTGTGATGGAGCAGCAGGGGTGTGATGGAGCAGCGGTGTGATGGAGCAGCAGGGTGTGATGGAGCAGCAGGGTGTGATGGAGCAGCAGGGTGTGATGGAGCAGCAGGGTGTGATGGAGCAGCAGGGTGTGATGGGCAGCAGAGGGTGTGATGGGAGCAGCAGGGTGTGATGGAGCAATGCTGGGGTATGGGCAGGGTGTGATGGAGCAGCAGGGGTGTGATGGAGCAGCAGGGGTGTGATGGGCAGCAGGGTGTGATGGAGCAGCAGGGTGTGATGGAGCAGCAGGGTGTGATGGAGCAGCAGGTGTGATGGAGCGGCAGGGGTGTGATGGAGCAGCAGTTGTGATGGAGCAGCAGGGGTGTGAAATGGAGCAGGGTGTGATGGGCAGCAGGGTGTGGTGGAGCAGCAGGGGTGTGATGGAGCAGCAGGGTGTGATGGAGCAAGCAGGGTGTGGTGATGGAGCAGTAGGGTGTGTGGAGCAGCAGGGGTGTGATGGAGCAGCAGGGTGTGATGGAGCAGCAGGGTGTGATGGGCAGCAGGGGTGTGATGGGCAGCAGGGTGTGATGGAGCAGCAGGGGTGTGATGGAGCAGCAGGGTGTGATGGAGCAGCAGGGTGTGATGGAGCAGCAGGGTGTGATGGAGCAGCAGGGTGTGATGGAGCAGCAGGGTGTGATGGAGCAGCAGGGTGTGATGGAGGCTGTATCAGTTGGTCTGGTAAGCACACCAAACTTGGATTATTTTTTAAATGTTTGTAATATTTATAGATGTTTTTGCTATCATTTGTCAGGTATGGGAGAACTTCACCTTGACATTATCCGGCATAGAATCAATAAAGAGTACAAGGTGGAGGCTGAGTTGGGCCCACTACAGGTCTCCTACAAAGAAACTTGTAGAACTTCCTGTACTCACACCATTAATGTCAACAAAATGATTGGTAAGGAATGAGAGACTTTGTTTTATACCCTGAAAGTTTAGCCAAGTTTGTTTTACAAAACATGTGTATACATTAGGAACATGGAGATGTAACTTCAAAGTGACCTGATTTGACATGTTCTTTTATCCTACCATCATGTCTTAACTATTTAATCCAAAAATGGAATTGATTTGAACATGTTTAGGTGTGGCTTAGGTAGGAACAAATTTCCTCCCCTTACTACTTTTGTGGCAACAGGTGGGACTCACAAGCCAAAATGGGTGTGGCATCACCCACCTGTCCATGCCTCTTTGAGTATAATTAGAGCAGCAGTTAATGACTTGACACTGATGACAGTCGTGACCTGATGTGGCAGAGACACTTACGATGTGTCTGACAGGGCTGGGGTTCTCTGAGTGATGGACTACAGCAACTATGCTCTGGCCTGTCACTCCCTACATGTGATGTGTAGAGGAAACAACCACTTGGTCAACAGCAGCCTTTAGTTGTTCATCATAGGAGAGTCAAAGAATGGTTTTACCTTCTTTTGGAGGACCTGGCAGTCTGGTCATCAAACCTTGTGTTCCTGGATCACAAAGGCCTGCAGTGAGTCTGTCATTAATGACTGTGTGGAGAGAGGTGTTGGTCTGGTTCCAACTTTTAACTCAAGGATCATAAGGATGAAGAACAAAACTTAATTACTGTTGAGAACGGTTGCTGTACATCAAGAGGTGTTCCCCACAACCTAGAGAGGCAAGAAGAAGCCCATGAGTCAGGATCAGTAATGAAGTTTTACACCATTAGGAGCTGGTGACCTCTTGTGTTCTCCATTATCATCTGTACACTTCTCAAATGGAACATTTCGGTGTTATATTTAATAGTAGGATTTGAACCAACTTCAGTGTTTCTTTGTACTCATGCAGTAGATGCACCATACTCTTCCTATCTGGTCATTTATGTACTTAAGCCTCCCATTAACCCTGGGTCCCTCTCAGCTGAATAAAATTGTTTGGTGTTAGCCAAATAAAATATTAAAGATGGCATCCTCATAGTGAAGGTGTTAATGGCTTCAGTCACACTAAATTTAGTGGTACAGTAACTCTCAAGTACGTGAATACAAGTGAATATCACATCTTTGAAATTCTCCATTTTGAAGTTTTTAGGCGACCATTATGTAAAGGCCCAGTCAAAAGTCCTTTGCCAGGCAGTTTTGCTTAACCTAGTTATGTGGATGCTAAGGTCTAGTGCTTATTTATTTATCTGTCCTTAAGAGTGACTAAGTTTTTCTCTTATAAAATGTCACTGAACCAACATGTTCTAATTAATTTTATTACAAATGGCTAAAATTTTTATCTCTTGTGCAAAATATATGATGTTTATATTCAAATTATTTGCTGTCTTGCAAGGATTCCAGCAATGCAAATTATATTCTCCTAACTTTAGACTGAGATATTATATAATATAAAAACTTAAAGCCTAAAACACCAAACCCTGGCTGGGAGGATGGGGGGGGGGGGTGACAGTGACATGTTTGACAGTTAGCGCTGAAGGTCAAGTGAAGTATTTATTTGTTTATTTATGTCCTTTAGATTGAGTTCTTGTTTTTTGCCTATAAAATGTCACAGAAGTGGCCGGGGAGAATATAGTTTACACAGCTGGAATTCTTATAAGATAGTGATTAATTTGAATATAAACATGCTATAGTTTGCACTAGACAAAAATTTTAGTAATCATTTAGTACATTATTTTGAGTACATGTGCAGTGCAGCTTTGCCCTTAGGACAGTGTAGCGTGCCCAGAGAAACATTAGGCGCAAATTTTAAAATATGATGCGCCAGATTGACTCGATCAAAATAGGAAAGAATCGCTTTAAATTAAAATATTGTCCTTAATTGTGGGTGTCGCTTTAAATCAATATTCTTAAATTGAATCGCTTTAAATCGAAGTTCTACTGTATTGATCACCGATAAATTGTGTAGTTCATAGAGGATATGCACATAGAGAGGCCATATACAGGAGATCCCCTGAGATACGATGGGGTTACGTTCCTGAAAAAACCCATCGCTAGGTGAATTACCTTAAACAGGGATCATTATAACATGGGGTTCAATGAGACACGTTCCCAGCCAGTCCCCAAACACACATGTATCACTGACAACACAATTCCTACAATACTATTATCAGTACAAAACAATTGAACAACACTCACCACATACTGAAAATCAAGTCTGGTCATCATCACTTGTCCCCTTCGAGACCAAGGGGACTCATGTAGGTGGAGTGGAGACGTCACTCTGACTCCCACACAGCCTTGGGGAGTCTCATGCTGCTTAACAATGTCAAGCTTCACCTCAGAGAGACAGTTGTCTTGGATGCCTTCGCCTTCCCAGACATTTACAAAGTTACACTGCTCACTTAACAGTCACAAAAACAGCGAACGATGATAACACGAAACAATGATGGCGGCTCACATTTTTTAAACAACAGTCGACTCCCCTTACAGTCACAAAACACACAAAATATCACTTCACAGTCACCACAACTCAGTTCAGTCTAAATGTTAGTGCTGTCCTCTCACTATATAAGAAAAAAGATGATAACTACGATGCTGACCAGTAACGGTGGAGCCACGCGATGGTGGGTTTATGATCGACCAGACCCAGGGCCATAGTGCGTGGCTTGGCCGTGTGGTGGCGTGTGGGTAGGCTTACAGGTGTAAAATATTGTTTCCTTATAAAATGTCTCCGACTTGAAGTAGAAAAATTAATTTGCATTGCTGGAATCCTTGCGAGACAGAGATTAATTGAGTTCAGTACATACGACCCATAGTTTGCACTAGAGATAAAACAAATTCCAACCAATGGATATAAATAGTTAAAGCAAGTAATTTTGATCGTATATTGCGAGATGGTCTTAATTTATAACCATTATTAAAGTGAACTATATCACATCTCGGGGTTACCGTGTACAGTGGTCCCTCTGTTAACGAGATTTCGGCTAACTAGTTACCTTCCATAAGATTCTTAATTTCGGTTAATGAGCAATCCCTCGATTAACGAGTTTCTAATGAGCCGACCTGAACATCTTTTCGCTTGCATTTGGCGGTCTACCAGCTGTAGTATTAGTCCGCCAATACAGTACTGTAATCGGTTCTAGGGCTTAAATTCCTTACTATTTTAGTAAATATCAAGAAGTTTATACTATTCAAGAATTTTAAAAGTTTAAAATTAAATTTTTTAGTCATTTTAACAATTATTGAACATAATTGAAGGTAAGGAAACTATTTTCATGCGCACCATCCAGCCTCTCAACACACCATACAGGCGTCAGTCTTTGTGTCTTTTCAGTGGAGGTAACATCTTGCTTGAGACTCTTCAACTAAACACTTTTTTTCTGTTTGCAAGCAAATTATTGGTCATTTTGAAATTTATTTTACATATTGACAATATATAATTCAGTACAGTGTTGATTTAAAGAAAATAATCTTGAATTACACCAAGAGAACTAAAATTTTATGGGTGAAATGGCACCATGGGGTGACTTCTCTTCCACCCCAATGCCTTCTCTTCTCCCTTCTCCTCCACCCCCATTCTAATTCCCATCATCATCCAGGAGCCTTCTACATACACACCTCAAAGTAAGTGTAACCTTTCTATCTTTTTTGTTGAATTTAGGCAATTTTCAGTGAGCTGGAACCAATTACCCAAAAACCCATTGAAACAATGGTTTCGGTTAACGAGCAACTTTCTAGAACCGATTGTGTTCGTTAACCGAGGGACCACTGTAATGGATTGTTCACATAATCAGGGTTTGTGGCACACACCATGTAATAATAATAATAATAATTAACGGTTTATTGAAAAAGTTCTGCAGCCCGAAGGCTGAAAATATACATTGGACATAAATGACTTATTACATACATTGGTGGTTTAACAAAGTGTGTGTGTGTCTTCAACGTTGTCATAGGTGAGCCAAAACTGCCTGTCACAGGACCTTTAATCTTGACTGTACCTAATACTGTACAGTATAGTACAGTATATGTAATATTATCTGAGGTGAAGACAACTGGCATCCTTGTAGAGACAGGGAGCAGCTGTAAGAGAGAAGAGGAAGGTTCTACAGAGAAACACTCTTCAGGGGTCTTGAGTGCAATGGTTTGTATTTTATATACTATCATGTTATAACTGTGCTTCAACAGCTAAGTGTAACTAGGTTTATAATTATTCCATCCACAATTAAAAGTTATGAGAGATACGGCCCTCTGAGCGATGGCACAATGAGGAGTTTTGGCAGGACTTTCTTGTGAACTTTTTCTTTGTCTTGACTGTTGTGTTTGATGAAGTATACTCAATAGGAAGAGGCATCACAACATCAGGCAGAGTAACAATATAACCTTAATCTTGTTTTGTCTTACCCGTCAGGTGATAGTAAACAGGCCGTCACATTAACACTCTCCATTAAGCCTCAACCAAACTACAAATTCAAGTCATTAGAACTGAGTTTCTCTAAAGACAACCAAGAAGTAAGTCAATTCTTCCTTTATTGAAGTAACTTTTGTGGTATATTGATGTACTGTACTGGAGGACATTTTATTTTTATAGAGTTTATTAAGGTTCACCTCACAACCCAGTCCTCTGTCTCTGTGAAGGAACCATTTAATTCTGGTACAGGCCATCAGGAGTTCTGTACTGTTTATTAACCTGTTTATAATATGTTAAATGATACTTTGAACTTCTTGCACAAGGACTACTGGAAATAAGCATCTTGTGGCTTTGTCAGCTGTACTTAGTCAAATTGACTAAATATCAGTTATTATTATTAATATTAAAGTGATACATTAGTTTTAAATGGTGGTTTTATGTACATTATCAGAAATGATCTTAATTCTTTAAATCAGAATCTACACGCCATCCGCCGCCACCACATGTCCGCCTTGAACCGTGGTGTGAGTTCTGCCCTGACGAATGGTCCCATCCTGGGCTTTCCAGTTGTGGACCTCAAGGTAGCATTACACTGGCTAGACATTGGCCGCGGGACGTCAGAGACCATAATTGCAGCGGCTGCAGCTCAGTGCATTCACCAGGTTGGAGAGCTGTGCTAGTATTGACATGGGGACTGTACTGTAGACATCAATGATATATTTTATTTATGTTTATTATCTTTATATTGAGTTAATAAAGATACAGTCTTTATTGTGTGCATGGAGGGCTACAGGCGTGACGTGAGACGGATCTTGACGGTGTGGTGATAAAAAGGGATTTAAAATTTTGCTGTAGGAAAGAGAACTTAACTTTCTGAAGACTTAGCAGGACAGACACTTGTGTGGATCAGTGTACAGTACTCCCCTGTGTTGTATTACAGAGCACAGCAGTACCTCCTCATATGAACTGGATAAAATAACAGGATCTATGTGTAGAAGGATGACTGGAGTTTTGTGCAGATGGAAACAAAATTAGGAGAGGATTACAGCACAAGTTTTTTTTGTCGTCTTTAATAATTAATTGTCCATTTTCTGTTACGTGGTGAAGGTTAAGAAGAAGAACTAATATGTAGGGTATCTGTAGGTCAGAAAAAGTTGCTACAGTTGAATTCTTGTAATCATACTTCAGTCATAGATAAGGATCATAATTAGCTAACTAAAAAAAACAAATAAAATAAGAAAACATGTTGACCTTTTTTATATTTCAAGTACCACAGATTGTAATGAAGGGAAAAAACAAACCTTCAGCAGTACAGTATTTTGTGTTCTATGTGTGACTTGTCCTCATTGGGGAGATATACTGTACAGACAGTCCCCGGGTTATGCTCCTGGATCCTGTTCCTAAGTCGGAACAGTGTTAATTCCATAGGTTAGGTTGGGTTGGGTTAAGTTAAAGCACAACCCCGCCTATACAAAACAACGATAACTTCCCGTACATAACAAATTATGTAAATACTGTAAATAAAGTGATGTTAAACAATACGTAAACCCTCACTAAGGCGCGGGGAATGTGGCGTTTCTAGCCTTCAGAAAGTGGGGGGGCCAAGGTAAATGTTGGGGGGCAAAACCAAACCTGTGTACAATTTGCAAGATGCAGTTTTTGGCATTATTACACCAGTTTGATTGACAAATGTGAAGTGAAGTCTCTCATGACGCCAGCCTCAAATAATCAGCTTATGGCGGTATAATGGCAACGCTCTTATTCCACTAATCATGATTCATTGGAGTATTGACACACTTGACCCCACCCCGTATATCTGCACCCTCCCAATTCCCGCCCTCCGGGCCTCACCTCACCTCACCCCACCCATGCCTGCATCTGGCGTGTGGCGTGCCCATTGCCTGAGTCACTCTACTCACTTCCTGGTTTTGGGAATGTTTTTGGAATTACAATTTTGGGAATAAAAAGTGGGGGGACCATGCCCCCCCCCCGTAGAATCGCCCCTGGGTGTCAGGGATAAGAGGTTGTTCGCCTTGGACCAAATTTTTGTGAAAGAAATACAAGTTTTTTAATAAAAATTTATTAAAAAAGTAATGTACTTAATAACTGTACACTTACCCCCATAAATGAAAGGCAGATCCAGCTGAACATGACTGTGAGAGGCTTGTAGTCTCTCTGAGTCTGAGTGCCTTAAGACTCCATATTCTGCACATATTTGTGAGTGACCAGCACCTTTTTCTAGCTTTTGAATCCCCTTTAACTTTTTGTTCACTGATGATGTTTTAGGCTTAAGCTTCTCACCATCCTTACAGACACCAAACACTTCCTTAGGGGCCATTGTTATTGTCTAATTTTTCAATAATATTACAAAAATACGTATGCTACATCAGCCTACAGCATAATCACACTACTGGCAATGTCAAATAAGTTTCCAAATAAAGTTCTGCTTGTGTAAATAACAATGAAACACAATCGGCAGAGTGAGAGAGGAGAAGTGAGGCTGTCACGGGCAACACTAATTGATGACTAAGTGAGTGACCCGTGTCCCTCTGTTTACCAGTGTGTGTGGATCATGAGGTCTGTCCGCTTTGCTCCCTTGAAATTTTGGGCTTATGGCGGACCTGTTTTCTTGCAACAAATTATGTCCTACTTTTTTTTTTTAAGCTTTTAATTATTTTTTGTCAAATAATTTTGTCCGCCTTAGCGAGGTTTTACTGTTAATGTAAAAACAAATAGAATTTTAGTTATAGGTTTTTGTGATGAACATGAGTACCATATACAGTACAGTTGTACCCCACTTAACGCGGTCAATAAAACCCAGAGGGTACCGTGTTAGGTGAAAACCGCGCTAAGTGAACAACAGAACATATGGGATTAATTCCAATAGAAACTGGCCCATCCCCAAACTCCACTTTTTCCGACACAATACCTATGTTCTAGTAAAAATAACATCTTAATTTTATGATGGTACATGCACACAATTAATACTTAAGAGAAATACAGTCGCCAAGTTAATGTCCATTCAAATAATGGACTCGACTCCCTCCCCATCTTCTCACACTACACTGCCGGCTCTTCCCTCTCTGAGAAATTTTTGGGGGAAACCACTAAATTTTAATAAATAATACCTCAAACTAAAGTTAGGATAATATAATTGACATTGCTGGATTCCTTGTAAGCCCAGGAATATTTTGAATACAAATGTCATATATTTTGCACAAAAAATAACATATTTACTCAGAATAAACTTTATATCTAAAATTTGTATGTCTAATGCAAAATCTATGATGTTCATATTCAAAATGATCATCATATTGTAAGAATTCCAGCAATGTAAATTATATTCTGGCCGGGTAATTTGTATGAATTTTATGAGCTAAAACAGGCAGTCAGGCAGGGTGGGGGGGGTGGGGGGTGGGGAGAATCTAAAAATAGCTCTCGAGCCGGACACTCACCGCGTATACGTGGAAAAAACCCGCGTTAAGTGAAAGTTCAGCTCTGGCGAGGCACCGCGTATACGGTAAAACGCGCTAAGTGAAACCGCGTTAGGCGGGGTAATACTGTATTGGGATCCCGTTCGTAAGTATGGTATCCGAAAGTTGAGCATTCGTAACTCAGGAACTGCTTGTATTACTGATTGTGTACATCTTTCCTTATGGCATTTGCTCCCTTTAGAATCAGTGGATTGATCTCCTGGAGTGAAAATATAAAATAACAGATTCTTGTTTAGGGAGTGTTAGGTGTACTGTATCTCTTGTTTAGGGAGTGTTAGGTGTACTGTATCTCTTGTTTAGGGAGTGTTAGGTGTACTGTATCTCTAGCCCAAATACAGTAAGTCCTCGCTTAACATCGGGGTTACGTTCCTGGAAATGCAACGTTATACGAAACAACGTCAAGCGGATCAATTTTCCCCATAAGAAATAGATAAAGTTACATTCCTGAGCCTCCCTTTACCCCATGAAAAAAGTTACGTATGTATACAGAAAATCATTGCCATTTCTATAGAAAATAGTTTATAGAACTACAGTACTAAGTTTGTATTGGTACTCACTGATGGGCGGAGGTGGTAGAGTGAGTGTGTGGTGGGTAGTGGAGCGGAGGAGGAGGATGGCGGGAGGGGAGGAGGAGGGTGGGAGTGGAGGAGGAGGGTGGGAGGGGAGGAGGAGGGTGGTGAGTCACAGACTCTGAGGCTTCCTCCTCCTCCTCCTGCGCTGACTGGGGTTCCTCCTCCATTGTTGCTTGCTCCTCCTCGGCTGCCGGCTGTTGTGAAGAAGCTCCTGCCGTCCTGCGACGAAAAAATGAATCCAGTGTTGACTGCTTGGTGCTACTTATCATCTTCTCTTCATAGATCTCGGTGTACCAACCAAGACTGTCATCAATGCTGCGTTGAACCTTTGAGCTACGTTCTCTGTTTGGGTCATCATCTAGAAGCATTTGCAGTCCTTAGTGGAACATTTTCAACGATTCTGCCATCCTCTTTGAAGTTAGTGTTCGTTGAGGTTCTTCGTCGTCTTCAGCAGCACTGTGTTCTGTTCACAGTTGCAGATCTTCAGTGGTGAGCTCTTCTGTATGGGACGCCAGGACGTCCTCAATATCCTCTGATTCCAGCTCATCAAAGCCTGCCTGTCTAACCAAGCTGAGGATATCCCTATTCACAGCTGGGACTAAGTCCGTGAATCCCGTAAAACTGTTGACTCACTCGGGCCACAGTTTACACCACACACCATTCAGGCAACTTTCTGAAACCTCTTCCCAATGTTGTCAATTGCTTGAAGAATGTTGAAGCCACGCTAATAATCTCGGATCGTTGGTTTATTTTCTCTGTGTAGCTTTGAGCAGCTGGGCCATGGTACGGCGTAAATAATACGCCTTGAATGTGGTGATGACGCCTTGGTCCATAGGCTGCATCAGTGCTGTCGTGTTGGGAGTCAGTAATACAACTTTTACACAGTCATGCAAGTCGTTGAGATTGGGAGGATGAGCTGGAGCATTGTCAAGGATCAGAAGAATTTTGAAGTCCAGGTTCTCCTTGGCACAGTATTCCTTCAGTGCAGGGACGGAGTACACGTTTAACCACTGGCTAAATATGGCGCCGGTTATCCATGCCTTCTTGTTTGCTTTGAAGATGACAGGAAGGTGATCCTTAGAGTAACCTTTCAAGGCCCGTGGGTTAGCAGTGCGAGAAATCAACATTGGCTTCAGCTTGAAATCTCCCACAGCTTTCGCGCCAAACAGCAGCGTCAAGCGGTCTTTTCCCGCTTTAAAACCTGGCGTTCTTTTCTCCTCCTTGGAGATATAGGTCCTCTCCGGCATCCTCTTCCAAAAGAGACCAGTCTCATCCACATTGAAGACTTGCTTCGGTGAGTAGCCTCCTTGCTGGATAATGTTTTTTTAATTCTGGCGGGAATGAATCGGCAGCAACCATATCTGAACTGGCAGCTTCACCAGTCATCTTAATATTGTGGAAGTTATAACGACGCTTAAGACGTTGAAACCAGCCTTGGCTGGCCGTAAAGGTCTCTTCCTTCGATCCTTCACCCTCTGTTTCCTTTATGTCGTCAAACAAGGATCTGGCCTTATGCTGGATAACCATAAGGCTCACAGGGGCATTGTGTTGATTCTGGTCCTCCATCCACATTGCCAGCATCATTTCCACCTTCTCTATCACAGTGCTTCTAGTACGAGTTGTTTTAGTTGTACTGAGAGTAGTACCACTTCCAGTGCTAACCTTAATCTTGTCAGCGTTGGTCCGGATAGTACGCACCGTTGTGGGGGTTAGACCAAGCACAGCGGCTATGACCACAACACGTTCCCATTTTTCAAATCGTGTTAATACATCCATTTTCGTAGCCGGGGTAATGGGCTTATGTTGCCTCTTCACTACATCAGTAGTACTTGATGGGTGCTTGGAAGTCCTTTCAAATGGTTAGAGTAAAATTTTTAGAGCAAAAGCATCTAAGTACACATGAATGATGCGATGTCGTAACAGAGACTGGCTCGGCGTCGCTTGGGGACGCTGTGACGTTCCGTGAGTGAGAGCGCGGGCCGAGCCGAGAGAGCGTAGCGCGGCCAGACAAGAGCGGGTGATGCGCCGTAGAAAGTAGTCATGACGACGCAAAACGACGTTGTATCGAATCACCAGGACGATAAACAAATTTTTTGCATCTAAAGCTTAGCGACGTAGTACCGAAACAACGTTAAGCGGGACGCCATTAAGCGAGGACTTACTGTATTTCATGAGTTTCACCTCTCAGCTTACATAGTTTCAGGTAAGGCAGATCACGGTGTCTGCTCAGTTACTCTCCCTCGACTTAGCAGATGCATTCTGTTCTAGCGAGAGAGTTTTGAGTCGGTTTGCTCTTGGTGTTGTAGGCTGGAGTGCACTGTTATTTGTATGTATCAATAAAAATATGACTAAGAATAAAACTGTTTCAGATAATGCAAAAAACCCAGTGTGAACTCCTTGAACCTGTCATGGAGGTGGAGGTGGTGACGAGTGAAGAGCACACCTCCTCTGTTCTTGCCGACATCTCCCGCAGAAGAGGAAATGTTCTCAAGGTCTCACATCGTCAGGATATGAGGGTGAGACTCCTGGACGTCTGTTGTACTCACCATGACTCTTAGCATCTTAGAAAATATTTAAATAAATACATTTGTACTCTTGAAACACATTATCCTTAAGGTAGATAACTAAACACTGTAGAATAAGTAACACTATGGCCAGTTTTGGTGTAACTTTTCTAAACAGTTAAGACAGTGAGTCCCAGCCAGAGATGTGTCAACTAGAGAGACTTGGGTGAAGTTTAAAGGTTACACTCTTAACCAGACTCTCATGGCCTGGAGTACAGCAGTGTATCTTTGTCTTATACTTTTGGCCTTCTTTAACCTGTATAGGAGAGAGAGAGAGAGAGAGAGAGAGAGAGAGAGAGAGAGAGAGAGAGAGAGAGAGAGAGAGAGAGAGAGGAGAGGAGAGAGAGAGAGAGAGAGAGAGAGAGAGAGAGAGAGAGAGAGAGAGAGAGAGGAGAGAGAGGAGAGAGAGAGAGAGAGAGAGAGAGAGAGAGAGAGAGAGAGAGAGAGAGAGAGAGAGAGAGAGAGAGAGAGAGAGAGAGAGAGAGAGAGAGAGAGAGAGAGAGAGAGAGAGAGAGAGGAGAGAGAGGGAGAGAGAGAGAGAGAGAGAGAGAGAGAGAGAGAGAGAGAGAGAGAGAGAGAGAGAGAGAGAGAGAGAGAGAGAGAGAGAGAGAGAGAGAGAGAGAGAGAGAGAGAGAGAGAGAGAGAGAGAGAGAGAGAGAGAGGAGAGAGAGAGAGAGAGAGAGAGAGAGAGAGAGAGAGAGAGAGAGAGAGAGAGAGAGAGAGAGAGAGAGAGAGAGAGAGAGAGAGAGAGAGAGAGAGAGAGAGAGAGAGAGAGAGAGAGAGAGAGGAGAGAGAGAGAGAGAGAGAGAGAGAGAGAGAGAGAGAGAGAGAGAGAGAGAGAGAGAGAGAGAGAGAGAGAGAGAGAGAGAGAGAGAGAGAGAGAGAGAGAGAGAGAGAGAGAGAGAGAGAGAGAGAGAGAGAGAGAGAGAGAGAGAGAGAGAGAGAGAGAGAGAGAGAGAGAGAGAGAGAGAGAGAGAGAGAGAGAGAGAGAGAGAGAGAGAGAGAGAGAGAGAGAGAGAGAGAGAGAGAGAGAGAGAGAGAGAGAGAGAGAGAGAGAGAGAGAGAGAGAGAGAGAGAGAGAGAGAGAGAGACCAAACTCTCTCTAGTGTCTCAGATGTTAATGGTTGCCAAGTTGGATCCATTTGAGGGGACAGGGGAGGAGGTCTAGGTGATTCTTTGCCAAGTTTCTTCAATGGAAAAAATGGGAATTCATTTGATGCCCCGGTGACTGTTTCATCACTTTCAAAATGGTACAGCCACCTGCACCCACACCTGGTACAGTACACTGGCTGGCACATTTTGTGAGAGGAAGCTCACAATAGTAGCCAGACTAAGAATTCCACAGAGTCATCACATCCCATGAAATGCACCAGCCACTGTAGTACCAGGTGGCAGTACATCTTGCTGTAAAATCCAGGAAGTTGTAGGAAGCTTTTTCTGTGGGTCATTCAGATAGATGTTGTGTGTTGCTACAGTTAGTAGTTCTGAGACTATTGAACAGTAGTCTTTTAGAATGAGGTTTAGGGGACATATTTTACATTGACTCCAAAATGGCAGTTGTCTTCACCAGTACAATGAATGCATCCTAACAGTTACCTGCATGTTTGGGCATCATCATCATCATCATTATTATCATCATGGTAAGTCACTATTATCATCATCATCATCATTAACAACAATAATTTACGTCAATTTTCCATTCTTGCTTGAGTCAGCCATAATGTTACCATACGTGATAAAGGTTTATATTGCATTAAGTGTTTTCCTGGGGACGTTATACATCAAGTTGGATCCAGAATCTTTGTCTTAAATTCTTTCCCTGGAAGTTTATTCTTTGGATGGGTGACAAGAGAGTCTGTCTTAGCTGCTGGCTCAGGTCACACTCCACTGTAATGTACTGTAGTGGGAAATGGCTTGTGAGATTAACAAATGTCTGTCATAACTGTGGACAAAATAATTGAGAAATTTATTGTCAAACTTTTACCCATTTTAGATTGGTAAATTAATGCCCGAGTTGCCTTTATTATTTGGTACTTTATTGTGCTCCACCCACCCCACCAGGTAGTGACCTTAGAGTGTCCACTAGCAGAGCTGATGGGTTACTCCACAGTCCTCCGCACTCTTACCTCGGGTACAGCAACCTTCGCGATGGAACTCTCCGACTACAGACCGATGAGTCCTCAGGACCAGGCAGCAGCAATAGAGGCTGTCACAGGATTTGCTCCATTGTAGAAGGTAATTCAGTCTGTGCTTGTTCTTCAGAGTTGTTTAACAATATATAAAGTCTTCATTAACATTATTTGTCAATTTCTCTGCAAGGCAACGAATTTATAATGTATTGTATGCAGAACCTCATTCACTATACTGTACATGCTGCTTTATATATACAAATTCCTGATACAAATGAAGATTTACAGATAATGTTATTTTTGTTTGCATTTGTTAATATCACTGGTGGCATTGTTGCCATGTTGACTCATCACTGTAGCCACGTCCACTAGACAAATAAGCCCGGTATTATTTTTATTTATTACAGTACAGAATATAATTGCATTCTTAACAGTCACTGAAACACTTGATGTACAGTCCACCATTTTGCTGAAATATCACATCTAAAAACAATAAGTATTAAAGTTAACAATAGTTATTTACAGTGTACTTACACTGTAGTAGATGAATGTTGAGATTATTGTAGCCGACGAGTCTTGATGAACCTTGAGTTGGAGGACAAAGGGGGCCGCTAAGGGGGCCGCTTAAACTTACTTTACTGTAGTTTCACTTATATTTTTCTGCACAATTACACTTAAAACTAGCATTTATTACTTTGTTTAATCACTGCCAGAATCGAGGATGTGAGGTGGCAGATTGGGGGTTGCCACCAGTTCTAACTCGGAGGTGTAGGGTGAGTGATGGCAAACCCAAGTCCAACCAATGGGAGTGTCCGAGTTATGGAAGTCCGACTTAGGGTTCTTACTGTACTGTACTTCTGGATAAATTATGCCAACAGAACTTAATTATCTAAGACTTACATCAAGAAACTGCCATGGCATTTTATGTTCTTTTCAGGTAAGGTGAACTGTAAGAACAAAATGAAGATATAAAAGGAGCTAGGAGTAAATTATGGAAGAGAACTCAGTAAGTGAACAGGTTAAGAAGTTGTGTGGTAATCTACCATAAAGGTGTTTTGACCATATAGGATCAAGTTCTCAGGAAAGTAAAGCTAAATGTGAGGAAGATATGATTGTGAATGTAATGTTTTCTTTATCACAAATACTGACTATTACTTCTACATCACTTTTTCTCTTTTTGCTTTAAATCTCATGGACAGCTTCCCTAATTTACACAGTAAGTGAACTCAAGTCTCAACGGGCTCTCTACATCACATTAATATTTAACACGTGGTCTGAGCGTGTCAGTTAGTTTTTGTGAGTGAGTTTAATGTTTTATTGCAGCTGTGACTACTAGCTACCTGTTGCCTCTAGAGCCACAGTGGGACATCTTCAAGTTGGTTGGTGCATCTGTGGATGATCTCAGGAAGTGCCTGACAGTTTACCTCCGGCTTCACCTCTCACCTTGGGACAGAACAATGTGCACATCTCCATAACTTTGTCCTTTTTATCATTATGGAGCCTAGATTGTGGTGTTGCCAAAACAAAACATAAGCTTTTAGATGGACTTTGTATATAATAAATGTAAAGATATACTGTACAGTGAAGTGCAGAGAACCATAAGTAAGATATTAAAGATATTTATAATAAACGTTTTATTCTTCTATAGAGGGATAGATGCCTAGTAGTATGCTGAGTCACCATTACTCCCACACCACCACCCTCCAACATCACCACTCTCCAACACCACCACTCTCCCTCCAACACACCACCACTCTCCAACACCACCACTCTCCCTCCAACACACCACCACTCTCCAACACCACCACTCTCCCTCCAACACACACCACTCTCCTCCAACACACCACCACTCTCCCTCCAACACACCACCACTCTCCAACACCACCACTCTCCCTCCAACACACCACCACTCTCCAACACCACCACTCTCCCTCCAACACAACACCACTCTGTAACCGCCCCCTTCATCACCCAAGCTACACTGCCCCCAGGGACCACTAGAACAGGTCACTCACAACACCTGGGGGACCACTATAACAGGTCACTCACAACACCTGGGGGACCACTATAACAGGTCACTCACAACACCTGGGGGACCACTAGAACAGGTCACTCACAACACCTGGGGACCACTTCAGAACAGGTCACTCTACAACACCTGGGGACCACTTCAGAACAGGTCACTCATAACACCTGGGGACTACTAGAACAGGTCACCACAACACCTGGGACCACTGAACAGGTCACTCACAACACCTGGGGACCACTAGAACAGGAATAACACAACACCTGGGGGACCACTCAGAACAGGTCACTCACAACACCTGGGGGACCACTAGAACAATCACCCACAACACCTGAGTGGACCCAACAGGTCACTCACAACACCTTGAGACCACTACAAACAGGTCACTACAACACCTGGGACCACTTTAACAGGTCACGCAGAACACCTGAGGGACTACTATAACAGGTCACTACAATTATCTGAGGACCACCAACAGGTCACTCACAACACCTGGGACCACTAGAACAGGTCACCACAACACCTGGGGACCAACAAACAGGTCACTTCATAACACCTGAGGGACCACCTCATAGCCAGTCACCACAACACCTGAGGGACCACCATAACAGGTCACTTACAACACCTGAGGACCACCATAACAGGTCACTCACAACACCTGGGGACCACTATAACAGGTCACCACAACACCTGAGGGACCACCATAACAGCCACTACAACACCTGGGAGGGACCACTGCAGCTCACTTCAACACCTGAGGGACCACTATAACAGGTCACTCACAACACCTGAGGGACTACCTGCTAACAGGTCACTGACAAATGGGGACCACTATAACAGGTCACTCACAACACCTGAGGGACCACTATAACAGGTCACTGAAAACACCTGAGGGACCACCATAACAGGTCACTCCCAACACCTGAGGGACCACCATAATAGGTCACTCACAACACCTGAGGAACCACTATAACAGGTCACTCACAACACCTGGGAACCACTATAACAAGTCACTCACAACACCTGAGGGACTACTATAACAGGTCACTCACAACACCTGGAGGGACTACTATAACAGGTCACTCACAACACCTGGGAACCACTATAACAGGTCACTACAACACCTGGGAACCACTATAACAGGTCACCACAACACCTGAGGGACCACTATAACAAGTCACTCACAACACCTGGGAACCACTATAACAAGTCCTCACAACACCTGGAGGGACCACCTATAACAAGTCACTCACAACACCTGAGGGACCACTATAACAGGTCACTACAACACCTGGGGAACCACTATAACAGGTCACTCACAAATACCTGGGAACCACTATAACAGGTCACTACAACACCTGGAGGGACCACTATAACAGGTCACTCACAACACCTGACCACCTGGGAACCACTATAACAGGTCACTCACAACACCTGAGGGACTACTATAACAGGTCACTCACAACACCTGGGAACCACTATAACAGGTCACTCACAACACCTGGGAACCACTATAACAGGTCACTCACAACACCTGAGGGACCACTATAACAAGTCACTCACAACACCTGGGAACCACTATAACAAGTCAGTCAAGTCTCACAACACCTGAGGGACCACTATAACAAGTCAGGAGGGACCACTCAGGTCACTCACAACACCTGAGGGACCACTATAACAGGTCACTCACAACACCTGGGAACCACTATAACAAGTCACTCACAACACCTGAGGGACCACTATAACAGGTCACTCACAACACCTGAGGGACCACTATAACAGGTCACTCACAACACCTGAGGGACCACTATAACAAGTCACTCACAACACCTGAGGGACCACTATAACAGGTCACTCACAACACCTGAGGGACCACTATAACAGGTCACTCACAACACCTGAGGGACCACTATAACAGGTCACTCACAAGGTATCTCACTCTTGATGGTCGTTACGGGAGACTGATCATCTAGATATTGTCGGGTGTATCTACAGATCCCCAAACTGTGGCCCACTAAATCAAAGGAACTTCAGAGCCTTGATAGACAGCGCGGCGATGCTCAACCCTAGCCACCTCCTTATCATAGTGGATTTCAACTATGGTGACATCGACTGGAGAAACGAGTCCACCCTAAATGACTTGAATAACCCCGCTACTCTTTTTGTAGAAACTCTGAGAGATAATTTTCTGTCCCAACATGTTAGAGACCCGACACATTACAGAGGGGAACAAACACCCAAGCCACTAGACCTCATCCTAACAAACAAGGAGGGTATGGTGGCCAAACTGGAACACTGCCCCAGTTGGCACCAGTCACCATATAGTGTTGTCATTTAGATTTAACTGTTACCTAGTTCAGGATAAGGCCAGACCAAGGTGCAAATATTACAAGGGAAATTACAATGGGTTGAGGGAAGAGATGAGAAGTATCAACTGGCCTGACTCATTAAGGTACAAGAACGCAGACACTACGCTGAATATCATAACTAGTAAAGTGACCCATTTGATCGATAAATATATACCCAAGACCAAACCCAGTGCTTGTAGAAATACGAGGGGATCCCTACACATGAACCATGCGGCGGTCGAAAGGGTTAAGAAAACCCAGAAATTCAAGACGTGGGTTGGGTTAAACGATGAGCAGGACAGGAGGATGTATGCAAGAGCCAGAAACCAAGCAAAGGCAGAGTGTAGAAGGGCTGAAAAGGAGTTCCAGAGGCTGGTTGCTAGCGAGATCAAGTCAAACCCAAAGGTGTTTTACCACTAAGCAAAGTCGAAAATAAAAACGCGAGTAGGAGTGTCAGACCTGAGGCTTGAAGATGGTAGTTACGCAGATTCTGACCAGGATAAAGCTGAGGCATTGAACAGCTTCGTTTCCTCGGTGTTCACAAGAGAGGATGCAATTAACCTTCCTGCGTTTGAGGACAGAAGGTTCGACACAGCACTGACCCACATTGTGTTCAGAAAAGAGGGTATTAAAAATATTGTCCAGGCTAAAGGTCCATAAGGGTCCCAGCCCTGACATGGTGCATCCTAGAGTGCTAAGAGAGTTGTGCAACGAGCTTGCCGAGCCCCTGAAGATCCTGTTTTGTAAATGCCTGGAAAAACAAAAGGTCCCCAGTGAATGGAAAGTGGCTTATGTGAGTCCTATCTTCAAGAAGGACGATCGTCACTCCACGAACAACTATAGACCGGTGAGCCTGACCAGCATAATATGTAAGGTACTTGAGAGTATTATCAGAGATGACGCAATGGAAAATCTACTATGGAACAATCTTGTTAAAGATTGCCAACACGGTTTTATGCCGGGGCGCTCCTGCTTAACACAATTGCTCAAGGTATTGGATATTTGGACCCATATTCTGGAACGGGATGGTAATATCGATAATATTTACCTAGATTTCGCCAAGGCTTTCAACAGTGTACCCCATGAAAGGCTGAAAATCAAACTGGAAGAGTACGATATTCGGGGAAATGTCCTAGCGTGGATAGAAGACTTTCTACATGACCGCAAGCAGTGTGTGGTGATTAATGGCACGAAATCATCATCCGTACCTGTCACAAGCAGGGTACCACAGGGCAGTGTATTGGGCCCACTGTTGTTTGTTTGTTTCATAAATGACATGCCTGACGTTGTACACTCCTCCATACAAATGTTTGCCGATGACGCCAAGTTATTTGGGGAAATCGAGAACCATGCGGACTGTGAAGAGCTGCAGAAGGATCTCTGAGGGCTTCAAGAATGGTCGAAGAAATGGCTGCTGAGAGTCAACGTTAGGAAGTGTAAGAGGATGCACCTGGGGCGTACCAGCGGTAAGGAGGCGTATCATATGCCCCAACGGGATGAAGAAACTGCACTATTTGAGAATGTGAGAAGGACCTAGGTGTGTATGTTGACAATGAGCTGAAGTTCTCAGACCATTGTGAGAAGAAGGTAAATCAGGCAAATAAATTATTGGGTCTTATAAGAAGGCCGTTCAGATATCTAGATGGTCCGTCCCTCATAACGATCTTCAAGAGTGAAGTGCTTCCCCATCTGGAGTACTGTCACCCCGTCTGGTCCCAGAGATATGCTAGAGGCTGTCAGTTGGTTGAAAATGTTCTAAGGAGGGCCACCAGACTGGTGCCTGTACTTTGGCACCTGAACTACCCTGAGAGATTGGAGCGCCTGAACTTGCCTAGCTGATACTACAGACGGGCAAGGGGCGACCTAATTGAGGTGTATAAGCATCTCAAGGGGCACTACACAGTCGAGTGTCCTTACTTGGAGCTGGCGGACGCTCGCCCCACATGGGGTCTGTAGTGGCTCCTCTTCCCTACAACTTCCAACTGAGCTCCGGCCGCACGCCGACCAGCCAATCAGCGTACAGCCAGCTACGCCGAGAGACTAGGTCTATGCAGAGGACGTAGGGGTACGATCGCCGACCTAGTCTCGACCATCAACCTCCAGTTCAGGATCAGAGCGTTTCACACCTTACGCTTGAGCCGCTGTGATTGGTCCTCTCGCTACGCGCACCCCAAATCCTGATCCTGGTAAATTGTATAAATACGGCCACGCCTGCCCAGGGAGGACATTCTACACTCAGCTACTGGACCAGCAACA